GGAGGGTGTACTCGCAATATTGTGTTTTTACATGGTCAATGGGATACTGTCGTTGGCTATTAATATCTTGGTTATTTTTACGCTGGCGAAAACAAGGCTGGTCGACAAGACTTTAATCATGATCATAGGTAAATTTATATTTTAATCTTTTAAGCGTTCTGTGATAGCGATTATTTGCGTACACACATATCTTGCAGTCGACGTAGATGGTAATTTGTTAAGTACACTGATAATGGTGATTTATTATTTCCAAGGAGTTGATGACACAAGACATCGGCTGCTTCACAACCTTCGTCATTATCCTCTTCTTTTGGGACCTCGCCTGACAACACAATAAAGTGGAATCGTTAACGTCGCAAGATCACTAAGGTTTCACATATCTCACGTTTGCTTTTTTACCCGACGAAGCGACAGAAATCGAAAACTTTCGTTTCGTTCGTAGCAAATCGAGTCAAAGTCAGTAGCTGTTGCTCGCTTTTCCTTTGCCTCGTAAATAAGGTAACAGATTAAAATAGGATTCCTCAAAGTCTGGATCATGACCTGGTTTTGTTCAAGGGCTGTTTCTTATTTGGCATAACATCTGGCACGGCGTTTGTCCAAATACGGATATTGTCATCAAGCACGTGTTGCTGACTGGTTTCGTCATTCACTAGCGTAGAACCTCTTGCATTGACATTAAGTCCACCGTAACTTTTAATGTCTTTGTTACCAAAAATGCCAGAAAAGTTAATTTTCGATTAATAAATTCAGTGCTAGTCTTTAGCGAGTGTGTACTTGTAAAAGATGTTTTCGTGCATAGGTGTGTCATGAAGAGAATAACTTTCCAATACCAATAGAAATATTAATTCCATGCGGTCTAAATATGTTTCATACTGGCCTTTTATCTATATAGCCATCATCAGCAGCTTGATAAGAGACAGAATTTAGCAACAAATAAGCAGTAGTTTGCACCCAAGAGTGTAAGGCGAATCCTTAAAATACCAACCTAAAACGTTTATACGTAACTACCTCCCTCAGACATATAATTTCTTAGCTGTAAGAATTCAGAAAGCTGAACTCATACTGGACATCGAGAAAAAGGTATTTCGTTATCAGAAGGACACCAATTGTAAAACAGTTGAAAAACTGTCGATGATATGATTAAACATTTTTGAAAAATCATTCGGGTTCATGTTTAAAAGATAGCGGTACTGACTGAATTTCATGTCTTTGATCATGCAGATCGGTGGTAGCTCGCAGACTGGTTCGTTCAAATTCCGATTCTCAGTGTCCTGCTTTGGCATGGCCACGTAAGCTTTCGCAGCATATGATTCTCAGTAATCATAATCATAATCATTGTTCTTGCTACGTGGCGTTAAG